TTGCTGTTGAACTTGCTTACGAAATCTAAATCCAATAGAAAACCAGAAGAAGAGCAAAACCCTTATGGTGTGATCCTGTCAGTTGGGGGGAGGGAAGGGGGTGGGGTCAGGGGTTAACTGAGAGTTCAAAGGTGTGGGGAAAATAAATGTTGGACAAGTTCAAGTTTTGACTTTTGAAACCAGCCAATCCTTTATCGATAGTGTACTATGGGGAGCTGTCCATGGTGCTGGAGAGAATTTCCACTGTGTAGCCGATAGGGCGGCACCTGTTGCTGTCCTGGGTGCTGAAAAAAGTCACCTTACAGTCAGTTCTGTAGCTCCCCTTGTGTCAAGTGAGGTGAATTCAAGAATTGTACTTATTTAAAATGAGATATACTGTCTTAGGAGACAGATTTCACTGCTGCCTGATTTTTAAATTGCGAATTGAACTATTTTTTTTCATACTTTAAACTTTTAAAGGGCTTCTTTGTTTCTAGTAGGATTTAAAACGAATATACTCGAGTTTGTGTGAAATGTTCTTGGACGTGAGAGAAAATAGTAAAGACTTGATCAGGGTTAACAAGGTTCTATTTCTTGGACTTCTTGGACTTCTTGGACTTCTTGCACTGGCCACATAAACATACTCTTCCATGCCAGGCGCACACACACAGCCCGTCTCTTTCTTCAGGAGCCTCATGGGAATCCAAGCAAATATCGTCAAGTAAAAAATAAATAAATAAAATAAAATAAAGGAGATAAAAAGGAAAGGAGCATCAAGCCCTCCAGTCCTCATAACATTACTGCAAGTTGCATCATGAGCACAACGCCGTGCTTTATATAAAGGAGAGCACGACAGAGCGTGATCTTGCGTGTAAATGGACATGCTGAGAGGCTGTCTCATGCGCCGCTGACGAATGATAATACCGCTGGACTTGGAGTTAAGAAAGCCGAAAACGCTCCCCGGATAGGAGAGGACACGTCATCCTCGATTCCCCCTCCCCTCCATCCCCGGCCTTTGCATTCCCTGCCCTGGTCGTTCAAATGAATGGAGGCTGATAACTGTTTATTGAGCGGCGGGTCCAGTAGGGACAGCTGCTTTTGATCCCTTGTAGACAGCGCGCGGTTCTATTCATTTTTTTTCTTTTTTCTTTTCTTATTTATTATAATCAAAAACCTTTCACACGTCTCTACCTTTGTCTCAAACGGCCCCTGGAATCGATACTGATATTAGTACAGTAAAGAAAGTCCGCTTGATCCACTAAGACGGCGTAAAAGAGCCTAAGAATGGCTGTTACACACAGCCTGTAACGGAATCGTTAGCACTTTCGTATACGCGTGTGTACATATGAGCCACACTTGATAAAAGTATGTGGAGACAGAAACGCCAGGAACTCCAAGTCTCCTCTTCCCCACTCCCCCGCTCCGCCCCTCAGCATAGTGTGAGGCTCTGGTGCCGCTCAATGGGAGGATGGGGCAACTGCTGGTGGCTGCAGCACCGAGGGATGTAGCAGACCACCTCAACGCGTGGTGAGTCAAACATATTTATCGACAGCGTTTAAAGTAAAGGTTGTTATACAGTGGGTGGGCGGCTAGATAGATAGTCTAGTGCCCTCTGCTCTTCGTAAATATGTGCGATAAGTTCAAGTCGCTTTATCGGCTCCAAAAGTAGAGCCAAACGGCAAGAAAGTGGGCAATAAAGAGCTCCCAGGGCGCAAATAAAACAAGCAGTCTCCTCCGAATATAGCTGCATTGAGATTTACTCCACGGGAGAGTCGAGGGAGATTTGTCACTATCATTAGGAGCCGAACTGAGTGTGTGATAAAGCTACGCTTACCGGCGCTGAAACACGTTTTCTTTTCTTTTTTTAAATTTTATTTTAAATGTTGGGTGGTTGATGACACAAGTTGGAGTAAAAGGTGGGTGACAGAGTGGGAGTTATTTTGGTGGGAGGATTTGAGGGTGACGCTGAGCCTCAGAGCACACTTTCGCACTTTTCACACATCGTGAAATCGCACGGCCCACTGTGTGTGCGAGCGTGTGTGTGAGTGTGTGCGTTTATGGTGATGCCGAAAATGTGTCTATTTCCACTCACTTGTGGATTATGAGCCGTCCAAAAAAGGCATGAGTGGGCTAACACAGAGCAATGACTCACTGTCAAATTCATATTGTGGCCATGGCAGTATTCTTGGCTTTTGCTAAAAATAGTGTCCATTCTCTGGTAGGGAGCCAAGACAGTGATAAAACGGTTGGCTTTCTTTGCCAAAGGACCTGCTCGGGACAGCAAAAATCATTGCGGCTCTTCCCCGAGACACCCTGAGCTCTAAATATGCTCTTCGTAACATGTCTCATAGAAGAAGAAGAAGAAGAAGAAGAAGATTATTTGCAACAGAGCCTCACATTTCAGGAAGACATCACTGGACGTGGAAGTAAATTATTATTAATGATAATCTGTTGAATGCGCGGGCTCCGGTTGCAAGATTTCAATTTGAAATTAATCAAGGGCAGAAAACCCAAAGTAAGTTAATTAGGCCTGCCTCCCCATGCATGCACGACAACAGATAGAAACTACACGCAAAAATTGTTTATGGGTGGTTGCTTCACAAGTTAAGAATGCTTGTGGATGCGATGAGGAAGAACTGAGAAGAAGCAGTCCCAAAGAAGAGCGTGACCCACAGTGCGCACACGTGCACGCACACACACGCACACACCTTTTGGACTGAACAGCATCACAATCAGCCGCCCGCTCGACCACCTCGGTGGATTTCCTCTTGCATCCAGCACATGCTGCACTAACAGCGAGGGTTTCGTGTGAAGCCCCCATTCACTCGGCGTCAGTACGTCCATGCATCACATTTAACGCTCCCCTCCTGTTTTTAACACAATGCCCAGCTTTGCTCAGTCCTTTAACGAAACCCATCAATAGAGTGAAGGATGGAAGCTCGAAACTCGATCCGCTTGTCACGAAAATAGCCACCCAAACCAGCCACCTATAATAACTTTGTGAGGTGGAAGAGCAACATCGGAGCGAGCCTGATCCTAAATGCGCCTTTAGGATGAGCGTGTGCCTGCGTGTTGCTGATGCTGATTTGCATTCAGTCAGGGATTGGGAAAGGGTGGGCGGTGGAGGGGGGTGGGGGTAAGCCTGCTGCATTTTGCATGTCTTCAGCTCTAAAGATGGGGACTTACCCTTTACTGAGGCGACCAGCAGCCCCATATATAAGAACAGCATCCGGCTCCAATGGTGCGCCTGCACTCCCGCCTTCATTAGAGCAAAAATCCGTATTCCGTCCACTTTCCTGCCTGCGCATTCCGGTCTCCTGAAAAGTCCCGTTGCTCCGTCCTGATTTGAAGCGGTGGTCATGGCAGGGCTTTTTCTCTGGTCTGGCAGGCACGACGAGTTTTCAAACGGTCAGAAAAGGGAGATTCACTCGGTGTCGGCGCTGAGAAAAATCCCAATGCATGGAGGAGGCTCGGAGCTCGCAGCTGGACTGAACCATGTCATGCGGGGACCGAGGGGTTCAGAGTCTCTGTCTGAGAAGATAGATTTCACACCTAAAGGAGGGGAAAGAAGAGGGGAAGGCAAACCAAAGGGGGACGCGATTCAAGTGGTCAGTGATCTGCCCAGCAAGAGTAAAAATCACAAAAATACCCTCGCCAGCTCCACGCATATAACTGAGATTACCAGATACACGTCAAGAGAAAAAAAAAAAGAAATCAGGAGATTCCGCCTCTAGTTTCTCCGGCAACACTTACTTGTCCTTCTGTCTAATTTATCTCCAGTTAATAAGAGCATCTACGGTGCCAGTAATCCACGCTTTAAGTCGTCATGAGACCGAAATTCAGAGGAAGGATGAACGAACTGGTTAGAACCACGGAGGATATCCGGATCCGAGAAAGATCGCCTGGTTTGAGAAGTTTCCAACCAACGCCGGAGTGTGGTTAGCGATCTTATTGTACATAGGGAAATATGCAGTATGTATTCCCAGTATCTCAGCGCTTGGCCACAGTCGTCTCGGGTCTGCGCGGCACCCAAGATTCCGACTGCAGACCTGCTCCTTCTCCGCTCTCTCTCTCTCTCTCTCTCTCTCTCTCTCTCTCTCGCTCCCTCGCTCTCTCAGCTCTCGGTTGGCTGTCCTCACTACCATCACCAGTCATATCATATACCCACATTTTTTTTGTGCTGCAACATCATTTCAAAATAAACTCATTAAGGGCTTATGTAAGTTATAAGTTTTAGCTTTAAAACCCTTCTCTTCCAATTTCTATGCATTGATTGCCATTCCCGATAATAATAATCACAACCATAACAACAACAACAACAACAATGATAATAACAATAATACGAAACCTTTAATACGCCTTAATCAAAATTGTAAAAGTAAGATTTAGGGGAGCCCACCAACAAGGCCATTGTCTCCATCCATTCAGGCCAGCAATGGGATTTCCCGGCAGTTTAGCACAGAAGTCCACTTGCTGCTCACTAAACGTGAAATTGATGCTTAACAGGCCAGAACCCTGGCCAGTAAATTTGAATGTCATTTCCACTTTTGCATATGACCGATATAATTAGTTTTTTCATAATGCAGCGCGCGTGGAAACAGTTGGGATAATGAAAGGCGCGTCGGCCTTCAACCCCGACATATATGATAGAGGCCATAAATAGTCTTCATGCAACATTAAATTAAACTTTGCTAACGCTGGATTGCTCACTCGTCCTCACCAGCTTGTCCCGGGCTTCAATCTTGCATTTTTTTTCCAGGAGTTCAGGAAATAGATCTAACTGAGATTCTGAAGCCTCATGTACTTAAAACATTTACGCTTACAGCTCGCAGGGGAACCCTTACATGCATGTAGCCCAGATGTACTAGGGGAAGGCCCCTCCATCTACTGGATAGAAATGTTGCAGCAACTTATTTATGTCAGGCACTGAAATACTAAGAAATGAAAGGTCTCAGAAGATTATCCTTACAACCGCTGGATAATTGTTGAAATTCTGGAACTGATACTGGTTGCCATGACAGCCTAACAAGCTGACATGCTTTTGAAAAGAAAAAACCAACAGCTTAAAAATACACATTTGGACTCTGTAAAGAAGACCGACATGGCCATGTATACGAACCGCAGAGGGAAAATGGTCCCTCTGGAAGAAGATCACTGGACGTCAGTAACTTCAAATCAGTTCCTCGGCGCATTTGCGCCATTTCCGCGTTTCGCCTGGATTCATCCAAACGCACCGAGGGACAGCTATGATATGGTGTGCAAAATTGTCTGGAGCAAAGCTACCCAGGTGAAACCTGGAAGAGGTCAAAGTTCACTGGAAATCCAAGCTAGTAAAGACGACACTCCTTCAGTCATCATGTCAAGTCACAGGTAGGGTTATCTGTGGCTATACAGGCTATAACTGACCTCTCCATCATAAGCGATGAAACATGCCGTCATATAGCTTATAAACCCATAAGCTATGAAATTAACCTCACTGCGAACCCACTATGTCTCATATCACACTTTATCCAGGTTTAATCAGTCTGTATATGAAGCTCAAGCAGCTTCATCATTTTGTTCCTGGGGTGTGCTTTCATCTAATTTAGATGAAATGGGAAGCGGTAGGCTCCTCAGTAATTAGTGCTAACACTGTAATATCTAATATAGGAGATGGCAACAGGTACAGCCAGTATTCTGTGTTTTTGTTTTGTTTTGTAATAATGCAGATGGTGAAGTTATAATTTGGAGTTTACAAGCGTCTTTAACATAGTTTGTAGTAACTACTGAAACCCAGCATTCAAATGTTTAATACTTTATTGTTCAGTAGATCAGGTAATTTATGAGTCATTAATAATCATGCTGTATAATAATGATAAAGTTCCCACTGTTGACTCCCTATGATATCAGTGAGAACAGATTCCCTTTATATCAGCATCTCAAAAGTCTGCTGTTTGCGAAGAAGCTCCTCCCATCTACTGTTCAGACCTCGTGTTTAGGAGGAGCAGCCAATCAGAACAAATCTGGTTTGGGGCAGCCCCAGGGTTTTTAGGGGTTTCTGTGGCTCAGCTGGTAGAGCAGGTCATCCGCTGGTTTGAAGGTCACTGGCTTGATCCCTGACTCCTCCAGGGAGGAATGTAAGTACCTTTCTACTCAACTGGGTACAAAGTTACTATATAAGTGCCAGTTCATTTTATCTCAGTGTATTCATTGCACAGAGCAGTTCGACCTCTGACTGAAGCAGCGCTACCATACAATGTATTCTAGATTAATTGCAATTTTCTTTTTTTTTCCAAAGAAGAAAAACATGGCCAACCAAGTAACACTATGCAACTGTCTGGCTTTGTTTACGCTGGCAGAAAATTGGTCTTTTCTTTTGGATGAATTCAGTTGTTGCAAGGACGTTTTACTTGGAACATTCAGCAAAAATAATATAATAATGACAAAAAAAAATGTGGATAAAAAAAGAGATTACAGTGATGGAAACCTCCTGTTGCTTATAATGAACACAGTGCAAGTCTGTGACGTAACTTCCTAATGTGGCAGGTTTCAGCACTTCTGTTAATACTTCAGTCAGGCTCAGGATTGTTTCCTTTGTTTCCAGTAGGTTACTGCGGTCTCCTAAAAACTCTGGCATTTTAGTGCTCTCTCTCCACAGCAATGTTTTTTCCCCCTCTTTTATTGAATACCTCAGCTCAAAACAAGTGTCATTGATTGTTACCGTGGCAACATCAGTCATAGGCTACAGTTAAAATGGGGATAAAGTGTCTATTTTTGGTAGTTTATTTCAACCTTGACTAATCAAAAAGCAAAATTACAATTGACTGTCTAAACCCACAGGCCAGTCTAAAGTTTCTATTTATATTTTGTGTATTCTATTTAATTAAAATGGCACACAGGCTCATTTTAGAAATCATAACATTTGTTTTGCCTAAAACAGATAGGGTTATGGGAAAATAAATGGATTAACTGGATGGATGTGGAGTTGTAGCCTCTTTATAACTTATAACCAAGATCCCAAGACTTCATTGGAGATCAGTTGGGCTGCTGTGCCGTCATAAACCCACTGTATAATGTTAATGTACACCATCTGCTCACCCACCGCCCAGAGCTACCATGACGTCTCCGTTATCATAAGCATCCCGGGTCTCACCGGACCGTCTGTTCCGCATCGCAGCTCGACAGTCGACAGGCTGGTGACTAAAGAGTAGCCTCATTAAAAAGTCATGCTTTGAAGCGGGTGATGCATCATACATACAGGTTTGGAGCCGTGGACTCTGTGATTCCTTATTTTCTAGGGAAACTGGTTTACCTGTTGGTGAGGGCAGTGAGGTTAGAAGGTTCTTATGCAGGGTAAACCCCCCCCTCCCCCCCCAAAAAAAAACCCAAAACAAAACAAAAAAACACTGCTTATTTCACCTGGAGGTGTATTATTGCATCTTAAAATGTGATGTCAGAAAGCAGAAAATCTGACAGTATCTCCAATTAAGCCCATTTTGTCATGTTCGTGATACAAGTGACCTTTTCTTTATGCATGATCACCACAGTGATTTAGTATGAAAATAAATGTCATTTCATTTATAAACGCCTTCAAAAAGCATGCCTAACACACGATGCACGGGAAACTAAG